TCGATGATCCTCCGGACGTGTGTTAGCCAACTTTGTGTTTGCCCCGTTCAGCTCCGCCGATAGCACTCAGCCAGCATCGGCCATCATCTCACCGCCTGCGTCGTATTGAAGGGCGTCGGTTAGGGCGTTGGTGGACAAACACACGTTGGCGCTAACACCTTCTGAGGATCATCGAGCAGGGGGTCGAGATCTCTGGGGCTGCGGATCGGAGCAGCATGCCAGCGCCGCCCGAGCTCTGGGGAAAGCGGCTCTTGGAGAACCCTCCGCCAGCTTCGAGCCCAGGGATTGGCCGAAGACGACTCCGAGTAGGAGTAGCTTCGGGCGAGGACATCTATACACATCCATTGCCCCCTGGCATGGCCTTTCCTGGGCCCAGGAGCTGTTTCGGGTCAACGATGAGGGGGGATGGGAATAACGGGGAGCATCCACCCTCAATCGCCCATGGATCGCCGATAGTGGTCTGATAGCCGCACCCCGCCCGAGGAGTAAGGGTTGCGGTCGAGGACATCTATACATCCACTGCCCCCTGGACGGGAACGTGCGGATTCACTATCCGAGGGCATATCTCCGATCCATCCGCGATGTATCGCCGACCCCAGGTGGATGTTTCCCGCCCCATGCCGGTCCCCCCCGTATCGTTGCCCTTCGGGAAGGGGCGGGACGGGGTCGGGCGACGAACTCCATACATATCCACTGCTTCTCGGCGGGGCCCTTCCTGGGCCAAGGAGCTGTGTACCCCCCTATCGTTGTCCCTCGGGGAGGGGGGTGGCGGGGTAGGGCGACGAACTCTATCCACCGCGCCTTGGCTGGGCCCTTCCTGGACCCAGGAGCTGTGTAGATGACCCCGAGGACCCTACGCTTCCAAGATGTGCACCAGGATCCGTGTCCCTCAGGACCCTATGCCTCCAAGAATCGACGAAATCGTGCACCAGGATCCGTTTCCCTCAGGGCCCTATGCCTTCACGCCTGGACAGGTGGCCGTGGCTTGAGGGCGGCGCCGTCAACCTGCGGGGCGCGGCCGCCATCGACGCCGCGCGCGTGGCCTTCCTGGAGGGCGCGGGGTACCAGGTCACCCTGGACGGCATCGACCCAGAGATAAGCGGGCGCCATGGTGTGATCCCAGAGGGTTCCAACATGGGCTAAGGTACAGGGTTAGGTCGGGCGTGTCCTACTACAGGCGGATTTCGGATGAAGAATAAAGATATCCGAAACATGAGCAACAATAGTCAAACATAATCGAAACATCGTCCCACGACTATTTTTTCAAGTTTTGAATATACGTAAGGGCTTCGCCCCCTGCCGCCAGCCCAGAATGGGCTATTTCAGAGCTATGCTGGAATTCCTTTGCGCCGTTGCGAAACAATGTCGGAACGTCCTTCGAGGGCGATTGGTAAGCGGCAGATTCAGGCTCAGAACGTATTGTTGAAGTCCGTGTTGTTATTCCCGAGTTCTCTTTTGTGCCATGCATTGGAGCAGCGATTCGGGGTTGCTTGAAGCTACGTTGGGCAACGTGGCGTGGTTTTGCTTGCCCTCTTGGGATGCCTCATGCAAGCCTGTTTGGGGCGGCTTGGCAGCCACTTGGAACCCTCTTTCGGCCTCGCGGGGCTGAAAACTCAAATCTTTGGTTCGTGGTCCCGCTTTGGACCTCTCTTGTTGCCATTTTCAGGAGTTCTTGGGCCGTCTTGGGTGCCTCCTGAGCTGTCCTGTTGCCTTCTGGGTCTGTCTTAGGGCTCTCCTGGAGGGTTCTTGGGTCGTCTTGGGGCGGTCTTGGCCTCGACGGCGCGAATACCATGACATTTGCTACAGATCATGGCCTCGAAGGCGAGAATCTGAGGTAATGCGCGAGGGATCGCAGCCTCGAAGGCGAGGCTGCGGTGTAATGTACGAGGGTTTATGGCCCCGAGGACGCGAGCATTGTTTAATGTTCGAGGGTTGATGGCTTCGGGAGCGCGAATATGGTGTACTTTCCGAAGAAGGGTGTATGGCTTCCGTGACGCGGCTATCGCGTAATTTACGAGAGCTTATGACCTCGAGGACGCAACTATGGCGTATTTTACGAAGTTGTATGGCTTCGGGGACGCGGCTATTGAGTAGTTTGTACAGGTTTATGACCTCGAGGGCGCGATCATTGTGTAAGTTACGAGGCTGTATACCTTCGGGGACGCGAGTATTGTTTTGATTCATGTGCAAGGGTGTGTAGCTTCGCATACACGAGTATCAGATAGTGTACGAGGGATTATGGCCTCGGGGACGCGACTACTGCTAAATTTACAAGGGTGTATGGCTTCGGGGGCGCGAGCATGTAGTAATTGACCATGGTTATGACCTCGAGGACGCGAATATGGTGTGATTTACACGGGGCTTCTGGCCTCGGGGATGCGAATACGGTGTAATGTACGATGGTTTATGACATCAGGTGCGCGAGTCTCGCATTTTTTTATTTGTCCCACGGCTCCCCGAGGAATTTCGAGAACCCTCCCAGGGCGTGGTACAAAAATCCTGTTTGGGGCTCCCACCCCTCGCGCGGACAGCAACAATGAACAGTAAGGAAGCATATAGCAGGATTGTAACAGTGGAAACTGGAAACTGCAACTGGAAGAGGGAGCTGCAATCTTCACCCTCGCAGCCCGGTGACCCCGCAGGGGGGGCGGCGGATTTCTCCTGTAGAGGGAGGGACACGCCCGACTTGAGCACAGGGGGCCGAGCCGACACCCTACGTTTGACCCCTCTGCTAGAGTTGGGAAGGGAGGCTCGAACGCAGAGGGCCCTCCCTGCCTCCTCTGCCCAAACCCCGCTTGGAACCCTCCGATGTCGTCGCCGCGTCGCGCTTGGCCGCGGGCGTCGAGGAAGCGGTCCCTCCAACAAAAAGGCACGCCGTTGGTCATCCTCCGTGCTCGTGCTGTTCCATCCTCCAGGAGGCTCCTCCTTGTCGCCCTTGCTCTTCCCTTGCTCTTCCTTGTCGCCCTCCTCGCAATCCGCTTCGTCCTCCTCAACCTCCGCCTCGTCCTCGTCGTCGTCATCCATTCTTCTTTGTCCATCCCCCATCCTCCGTCCTTCCCTTCCTCCCTCCTCTCTCCTCGTTCTCCTCGTCCTCCTACCCGTCCTCTCTCTCCTCCTCTCCCTCATTTTTCTCTTCCCTCATCACCCTGCCTACCATATCTCTCCTCCCCCTTCGTCTATGGGGCGGGATGTCGGGATTCGCACGCTGCTGAGCGTTTCATATGCCCAGCTCGCTCCCACGGCCGATGTTGCCGAACTCCAGGCCCTTTGCAGTGGATGGCGCTCGCCACTCGGGCGGGCTTGCTCGGAGTGTCCTGGGCGTCCCGGAGCGGACGCCCTGCCCGAGGCGCCCTTCGGGCCCGGCGGCCTTCGTAGAGTCCCGATTTCTCCGCATCCGGCCCTCTTGTTTACAGGAGAGATCGAGCTTCGATCCTGCATTCCGAGGGGATGGCAGTGTCAGACGTGGAACTCCGATGACTACAGCCACAGCCAGAGGAGGAGGAGGAGGAGGAGGAGGAGGAGGAGGAGGAGGAGAGGAGGAGGAGGAGGGAGGAGGAGAGAGGAGGAGGAGGAGAGGAGGAGGAGGAGGAGGAGGAGGTGTTGGAAGGAGGAGGAGGAGGAGGAGGAGGAGAGGAGAGAGGAGGAGGAGGAGGAGGAGGAGGAGGAGGAGGAGGAGTCAAGTGGAGGAGGAGGGTGAGCAGGAGGAGGAGGAGGAGGAGTAGGAGGACCAGTGTAAACCCAAGACATGTCCACGATGCTGGAATGAAGCCTCCCTCCAAGCTCCCTCTTCATATGCCCTACAAGAGTTCATTCCCATTCAGGGAAGTGCCCTGTTGGGAGACAGCCGTTTGAAGATCCTGAAGCGTGCCAAAACACTATTCTCGGGAATCCAACGCAACGAATGAACCTGACGGTTGCGTCGTGACGATCCTGCATCGTGCCAGAACACCATTCTTGCTTGAACACCACGAATCAACACAATTCTAGCGCCCTGGCAGTCCTGAGTGATCCAAAGCACCGTTTCTGGTAAATTAGTCATGGGACCCCGTGAAATCCTGGCAATGTTTAAAACGAATGTGCGCGGCGCTAAGGCGAGAACCACATGTTGAAAAGGAACCGCCCTCAATCCGTGAAGCTTTTGCGAATTTGGAAAATGTACGAAAGCACGCGGCACTGAGACGAGAGCCACATTTTGAAAGCCATCCGCTCTCGATCCGTGGAACTCTCTACGATTGCTCGAGACCGCTGTGCGCGGCGCTGAGGCGAGAGCCATATTTTGAAACCCGCCCGCCTTCCATCGGTGAAGCTGTTGCCGATGTCTAATCTCCTGGAGCGTACATGGTAAGGAGGTTTCAGGCGAAACACCAGGCCAGCCCTTTCCGACTGGCCTCGGGGTGCGACAGGGAGGAGTTAGCTCTAAGGAGAAGAAATGTCCGAACGGGTTTAGAAACAACATCAGATCACATTGCCCCGAATGGGAGGAGGAGGAGAAGGAGGAGGAGAGGATACGAGGAGCGCCTTCCCGCGTGATCCCCCAGGGCACTCTGAAGACGCTGGCATTAAGGAGGGACTCTGGTGCTCCGGCCGCTCCTCGGATCCAGGCCGTGGGAGCCTCTCCGCGGCCGAGGCTCGTTGTGGCCAGGCGGGCCCCATTCGTTGCTGGCTGCCCTGCTCAAAGGCTGCGGCGCGAGGGCGCGAAGATGACCGCCCGTCGCGCATCGTGGGGCACGGTGCGCAGTTGGGTGGCCTATAGTCGTTCCTGATCCAGCGCTCCTTCTGGCAGCACGATGATTGCAGGACTGAGCAGCGCCGACTTGTCCCCCTCCTGCTCCTCCTTCTCCTCCTCCTCCTCCTCCTCCTCCTCCTCCTCCTCCTCCTCCAAGTCCTCCTCCTCCTCCTCCTCCTCCTCCTTCTCCTCCTCCTCCTCCCTCTCCTCCTCCCCCTCCTCCCTCTCCTCCTGCAATCAGTCCTGTCCTCACCCGACTGTATCCTCCGCCGAGGCCGCCAGCGCCGCGGCGCCTGCCGCCGGGCCCCTCGCGGCGCACATGCCCTTGCTCGTGCACGAGGCAAAGGCGGGAGACACGAGGAGCAGGGTAAGCGGCTACGCGTAAGAGTACCCTCTCTCCGGAGTGACCTTTGGGGCGGGGCTCACCGGGGTGGCCGCAGCACTGGCTCGCGCGCTTGAATCTGCGCCTTTCGGGGTCCCCTAAAGCCGCGCACCAAAGGTCACTCTTGTCTATGGTCACTCTTGCGTGCAGTCCCCGCCCAAGCGCGTGCGATCCCCCCGAGGTAGATAGCGGCGCGGCACCTGTTGAGGGCCCCGTCACGGCGCGCGTACTCTCGGCGAGCGGGCGGGCCAACCTAGAAATTGGGGGCATCGAGCAAGAGCTTCCAGGCCACAATTGGGGTGGTCGCGTCCCTTGTCGTCCTTGGGGGCCCATCGTTAGATGCTCGTCTTGGGGGCCTTCCTGGGGCTTGCTAGACGGATATGATCGACTCTAGTTTGATTGTATTTTAATTGCAGTTCGATTCAGGTTCGACTCAGGTTCGCCTCGAGTCGACGAACGCCCGAGACAGCTTCGACTCACGAGTGGAGCGAGTGGCTTCAGGAAGGTCTCCAGCATGAGAATCCAAGTGTCGGCTTCGACACCCCATTCGATGGATCGTTGATGCGGGGCTTGTCGGAGATGCTTCTCCAGCCTGGGGATGCTTTCCAGCACCTGCGCCTCGCCAGGTATGTTCCAGGGGTGCCCCAATCGTCCCGAGCGGCCGCCTCAGGACCCGAGATCTGATCCGAGAGCCAGGGGCGCCGACGGGAGGGGACTGGCCCGGGTTCGGGGGCCTGGGCGCCCAATCTCGGCCACGCGCAGAGGTGGGCAGGGGGAGGTGGGAGAAGCTTCTCAGAAGGAGGCTGCTTCTTAGAAGGCGCCGGCTTCTTAGAAGGAGGCTGCTTCTCAGAAGGCGCAGGCCCTACATCCACATCTACAGATGAGGCCCGCGCCTTCAAGAAGCAGGGGTGCTTCAAAAAAGCCTTCCCCCCTACCCCCTAGCCCCCTCTGCGCGTGGCCCACAGGCAATCTTCGGAAGGAGGAGGATGGCTTCGGAAGGAGGAGGAGGAGGAGGAGGAGGAGGAGGAGGAGGAGGAGGAGGAGGAGGAGGAGGAGGACTTGGAGGAGGACTTGGAGGAGGACTTGGAGGAGGAGGAGGACTTGGAGGAGGAGGAGGAGGAGGAAAAGGAGGAGGATGTCTTCGGAAGGAGAAGGAGGGGAAGGCGGAGGATAGCAAGGAGGAGGACGAGGAGGACGTCTGGGATCTCCCTCGGCGCGTGGCCGGCCATCGCCCACTCCTCGCCACTCTGGGCCCGGGTGCCCCCGCCCCGCCCAGGAGCGGGCCGGGCGAAAGGGGGGGATTGGGAAAGGGGGGGTTACGAAATTTGCTGCATGCAGCTGGTTTCGGCCCCACCGAGGGGCCCATTCCTCGATACACGGGCGCCTCCGGCGCCGGGAGGCGCCGGGGAAATCAGCTGCGCGAGCTGATTCTCAGACCCCCCCTTTGCTATCCCCCCCTTTCGCCCGACCCGACAGGAGCGTGCAGTCTCGTCGTCGAGGGCCCTTTCGTTCACAAGCAGACGACCCCCCCTAATTACAGGTCTCGACGGGGGGGGTCCTCGGCCAGCCCAGGGCCCCCCCCCAAAAAAAAAGGGCGGGGGAGGCGAATCGGAGGATGGGGAAAGCGGGGGGGGGGAGAGGCGGGGCGGGGGGAAGGGGGGAGTAGGACGCGTAGGATAGGGAATATACAACGGCAGGGGGAGGTGGGATGGAGTGTTTTCCTCTTTCCTCTCAGCCTACTCATCCTTCCGTCCTTCTCCCCCCCCCTTCCCCCCCTTCCTATCTTCTCGGCCTCGGTTGTTTCCCGCGTCTCCCCCGCGGCCTAGCGGCTTCTCAGCCGCGCCCGCGCTGCCCCCAGCCCGCGTTTTTTTTTTTTTTTTCTCCTTCGCCCCCCCGCCGCTCCGCCATGGCGCCGAAGTCGACGCCCGACCAGCGCCTCCTCGCCCAGCTCATCGTTAACAAGGACGGCGGCCGACGGGAGGAAGAGGGCAGGGCAAGGGGGCAGGAAGAAGGGGAGAAGGACCAGGGCAGGGGGCGTAGGAGGGGGACTGCGAGGAGGAACGGGGTGATCAGAGGGAAGGCGGAAGAGGAACATGGGGATGCGATAAAAGAGGGGGTGATGAGGATGGATGTGGGCAGAAGGAGCAGGGGGGGCAGCAGCAGGCGCGGGAGGGGCAGGGGGAGCGGGGGGAGGGAGCTGAGGAGGATGAGGGTGAGCGAGGTGAAATGGAGGATGATCGTTTTCTCGTCCTGCGCCCTCTTCCTCTTCCTTTTCATGCGCCTTTTTCCCCCTCCCCCATCCACTCCCTCTCGGTCGGACCCCGCCTTTTTTTTGTTCCTGCGCCCTCTTCCTCCTCGTAATATCCATCGTCCCTTCTCCTCTTCATCCTCCCGTGGGTTCGCCCTCGTCTACCTCGCCCTCCCCGCTCCTGCGCCCCCCCCGCCCTTCCGCCCTCCCCTCGCACCCCTCACCCCTTCGCCCGCGCTCCAGCGACCCCCCCCTGCCCGAGAGGAAGTTGAGGCCCCTGTGACGGTGGCCGAGAAGATTCAGCACGAGCAGATGCTGAAGATCAAGCAGGTGGTCCAGCTCCTTCTCGAGGACCCCGCGGGGGGAGGGTTGGCGAGGCGAGGTTAGCGATGAGGGGCATGGAGCATGGATGAGGATATGAGGAGTATGAGTGGTAGGATGAGCGAGGAGTGCGCGTAGGGCGGGCGAGGGGTGAGGGAGCGGGGGGTTGGCGGAGAATGATTAGAGTTCCGATGGTGATGATGAGCAGGAGTAGGAGGATACATGCGACCAGGATCGAGGGTCGGAAGGATGTGGGAAGGGGCACGGCGTACTCTTACTCTTACTCTTCCTCCCCTCCCCTCCCGTGACTTTTACTTTTGCCGCGCCCCGCTCCCTCTCCCATGGCTCTTACTCTTGCTCTTACTCTTACTATTCCCCCCCCCCCCCCCCCCCCCCCCCTTCCCCTTTCAACCGTGACTCTTGATCTCGCATGCCCTACTCTTGCTCGCCCTACTCCTACCTACTCGTCATTTCCTCCCGATCTCCGTCGCCCCCTTACTCATCTTGCTCTCGCCCTTACTCTGGCCCCTTATCCTACTCATCGCACTCCACTCCCACTCATTCTTTCCGCTTCTCACGTTGCCCTCATCTTCGCAACCTCCCCGCTCCTTCTCACTCTTACTCCGCCTCGCTTCTCACGTTGCCCTCATCTTCGCAACCTCCCCGCCCTTCCACTCTTACTCCGCCCGCTCCCGCCCTCTTGCGCTTGCTCTGGCCCATCCCAACTCATTCCCATCAATATATTCTCCCCTTTACCTTTGCCTCCTCCCATATCTTCTTCCCCTCCCCCCCCTCGCCTTCGCCCACCTCTCTCGCCCCCTGTCCGCGGCGCCGCTCGCCAGGACAAGACCAAGGTGAATACGGCGTACTGCATCATCTCCAAGCCCGTCAAGGAGATGGAGGACATGGTCATGGTCGGGCCGAGCCCCGTGAAGAAGTCGGGGGGGGCCAAGCGCGCCGCGGCTCAGGCCGAGGCGCTCAGCAACGACCCGAGGTTCAACCCGAGCAAGGTCAAGACGCTGGGGGACTTCCCCCCCGCGTGGTTGATGACCATCTTCAAGCAGATGACGACGGGCGAGGTGCCCAGCAACGTCGTCGAGGTAATCTGCTGCAAGAGCATGTTGCCGTGTCGTCAGGTGACGACGTACTTGACAGGACCGCCGCTGGGGCGGTTTGCGGGGTGGGGGTAGCAGTGGAGGGGGGAGGCAGGAGGAGCTCGTAATGGGGGTGGGGATCGGGCGGTGGATGGGGGAAGGCTCGGACGGCAGACTATGGGGCTTGGGGTCGGAATTGCAGGTGGGCTCGGAAGGGCAAGTGGATTGCAGTGCGGAGGCGGAAACGGCAGTGAGGGCGACGACTGCGTCGGCGTCGGCGACGGCGACGGCATTTGCGACGGCGGCGACGACGACGACGACGACGACGGCGGCAGCGTCTGCGACGGCAGCGTCGACGGCGACGACGTCGGTGAAGGCGACGGCGCTGGCTTAGGCGGGGGCGCCGACGGCGGCGACGACGGCGGCGACGACGACGACGACCGCGACGACGACGACGACGACTACGACTACGACTACGACGACGACAACGGCGACGACGACGCTGACCTCGCCTCGAATGGCCCTGCCCGCGCGCGCTGCGAGGGCTGCCGTGGACCTGGAGGGTCAGCGGCGACATGCTGACGAAGGAGATCTGCGCAAAGTTCATCAGGTCTTGCATCACGGGGCGCGCGCTGCTGAACAAGCACGGCGGGTTCCTGGCGAACTGCATCCACAATGGGGAGCTGGTGTCCAGGGCGCCGCACAGCTTCTTCGACATCAGCACTGCGGCTCATCGCGCGCATTTGGCTGAGCAAGATCAGCGCGATGCGATTCTGCAGGAGGCGAGCTCGCCCGCGGGGTGGCGCCGAGACGTCGAGGGCTGATCGGTGGAGGGAGAGGGGCGACGTTGTTTGGGAAAAGGGGTAGGAGGGGAAGGCGGACGGGGTAGGGGGTGGGCAGTGGCGGCGGCTAGTGATGCCGACGACGGCGGCGAACGCAGCGATTCGAGGGTGGTTCGGCGGTCGCATCCCGCCGCGTCGTCTCATTCCGGCCCCCCTGTCCCCGCCTTTCTTGGCGCCCGCCCCGCCCCGACCAATGGCGCCCTCAGACCAGCTCCGCTCGCCGCCCATGCCCCCCCCCCCCCATCCCCCCCACCGCTCGAGCCCTTATCGGCCTCCTCCGCCCGCCCCCTCGTCGGCGCCCCGCAGCCCGACGTGCTCGTCGACCTGGTGAGCAACAAGAGGTACGCGCTGAAGGAGCGCTGGCCTCAAGGCCCCATCGCTCGCCCCCTTGGCTGTGCAGCGGGCAGGGTGAGGGAGGCAGATGCTCGCGGGGGCGAGGATGAGGAGGCGAATGATGAGGCGTCGGAGGGAGTGGACGGGGAGGGCGAGGCGAGGCGGGAAAGGCGGGGGATGACGAGGGTGCAGTGGGGGCGGGGTTGCCCAGGTGCCGTCCTGCAGGACTTGCATGGGGAATGGGCGGGGTGGTGAGGGCGACGAGGGGGGATGATCAGGAGGAGGGGTGCCAGGGGCCTCGCCCAGGGGTCGCGCTTCGGGTCCCGCCCTTGATTGATTTAGGTCCCGCCCATGGGTTGGACTTGGCGGCTTCTAGGTGCGCCATGTAGGTATGATA